AGATAATGAATAATATACATTTATTGAATAATATATAATAATATAAATGTATTGAATAATACAATTTTTAAAAAAAATTAAGTACAGTTGTTAATTTGAGGGGGTGGCGTCATTTTTATTTTTTGGGGGTCCCCGAAAGAATTCGCCCATCTGAAAGTTTGAAAACCCCTGCTGTATGATACGCAGTGACATGCTCATACAAGCACCCGTGATCTTTAGAAGATAATAATCTCAATTCTGGAGAATAGAAAAGATAGCTGTAGAGAATAACAATATAAAACATTTAAAACTTTACATGTGAGGAGTACAGCTGTAGAGTATAGAACAATGTATAACATGTTTTATTTATTTTTTTAAGTAGTGCTGGGCAAAACTTTCTCATCCAAAAAAATCGTTTTTGACCCTATAAGTTTGTGTACTCTGTATATTTATGTCAGTGTATATATAAATATGGCATGCATATATTTGAGAATGTTTATTTGTATTCATATTAGAAATAAAATGTATAAATGATCCAAATTATATATCAATGCAAATATCTGTATGATGTTTTGCTGGGCTTAAACTAATTGTGATGAAATGCACCTATATTATGTCAAAATTAACTTTTATATTTGGATGTGATTTAATCTTTATCCAGCACTTTTAAAAAAGCTTGACTATACAATCAAGCATAGCAGTGTCTCTATGAAAGTGCCTGGTGCATATAGAGAGGAAAGAGTGCATCCTGCTGGTGGATTGTCAGGCACACTCAGAGCTACACCCTGTATGAGCGGAGTGTGTGTAATGTGTGTCTATAATAAACCGTGTGACTGAGCACAGGTTCGGCCAGGTGTCTGAAGAGTGGAGCGACGTGATCTCCGAGGATAAAAGAGCAGCTCACAGGAGGAAAAACCACATCCGGGAGCTCAAGAGCCAACTGGAGGTGAACATCTGCACATGCGCTGCATTAGGACTGAGCGGAGTACTTGAAATACTGCACATTTGCATCAATAACTGCATAAATGAGTGATCTAGTGTACGAGTGTGTGTGTCTGCATCAGCTGTAGTTTCAGGTGTTTTATTTTTCAACACCGTCTGCATTTCTCTTTCATTACATACACACAGCACACAGCTGTCTTAGAATTGTGCCTACATGCAAACCAACTAATATCAGGCACTCAGCACCTAATATTAATATTGTTAAAGAAGGTTTAAAATGAATAATTTAGATTCTAAACCTAGTGATTTCATTGGAGTGCACAGCTCAGTGCTGACTAAGACCAAAGCAGACAGACGCCTGTTCACACAGCAGAATATACCTGACTTTAGCATTGCGTCTCAGGTAAAGTGTGATCCTTTAGCATGTTTCTTAAATTCCACTAATCCTATTATTGTATTCTTATGGTTTAGAAGAGTCTAAAGCTCGCTTCCAGCACCATTACATCTCTTAGTCATTGCAAACACATGCACTATTGAGAGATTCTGATAATCGATGTGTTGTGCAGCTCTACTGCAGGCTAATGTAGAATGCTGTTTCACTGTAATAGTCAGATGTATCGCGTGTGTGTGTGTGTGTGTGTGTGTGTGTGTGTGTGTGTGTGTGTGTGTGTGTGTGTGTAGGGTGGCAAACTGGCTCATGTTCCTGATGCGGACACCAGGGCGGCGCTGGCGTGCAGATCTGCTCTGGGCAGTGTTCAGGCTCAGGCCCGCACGCCGCACACACACACCTCTATCACGCCGCGGCAGAGCAACTCCAAACACACACAGTTCCTGCAGGTGCTCTTCTCTATACTGCGCGCACACACACACACACACACACACACACAGCTAACATATGAAGTGTAGGGGTGTTTTTCATCCAGTATCAGTGTCTGATCAGCGCTCTATTCTGGGTGTGAGATTAATGCAGTGAGGGGTTTAATGATCAGGGCCTACATTAACAAACCATCCATCCCATCAGTAAGAGCTGTCTGGTTAGATGTTGAACAGATTGAGGAAATGTTCACAGTATGTCTGATAATATCTGTTCTTCTGGAGAAAGTCTGATTTGTTTTATTTCGGCTAGAATAAAAGCAGTTTTTAATTGTTTAAACTAAATTTTAAGGTCAATATTATTCGCCCCTTTAAGCTCTATTTGTTCTCGATAGTCTCCAGAACAAACCATCTTTATACAATAACCTGCCTAGTTACCCTAACCTGCCTAGTTACCCTAATTACCCTAGTGAAGCCTTTACATGTCACTGTAAGCTGTATAGAAGTGTCTTGAAGAATATCTAGTCTAATATTATTTACTGTCATCATGACAAAGAGGAAATAAATCAGTTATTAGAGATGAGTTATTAACACTATTATGTGCAGAAATGTGTTGGAGAAATCTGCTCTCCGCTAAACAGAAACTGGGGAAAATATACACGAGGGGTGAATAATTCTGCCTTCAGCTGTGTGTTGACCAGATGATCCAGATGTCTCTCTTTGGAAAGATTTATTTAGTTTTGATCGATTGGGATGATTAAGCCTTTTTCTGAGCAGTGCATCTGCATAAAACATAACAAATGACTAAAACCAAAAAATATGACAGATTAATCATTAAAAAAATAAACAGCACGTCTAACAGCCTACAGGTACAGACATTTAACCATCAAGTGGAGAAGAACATGCTCATCATTGTATTAATAAGTAATGATAGTATTAATTAGTAATAATATTTAATGACATCTTTAAATCTTCATCAATATAATGTGATGTGACTGTTGTGGATGCTGTAATATCGATGCTCATACAATACATTGTTCAGCTCTAATAATAAGAATAAACTTGTTTTGGCATTAGATTATTCGCATGTTTCAGCCAATAGAAATCCTTAAAGTGGAAAAGCTTGACTGACTGCAGTAAAACAGTGACATTAGATTATATTCTGTATAGAGTATATCAATGTGTTAATCAATATAGCTTTATTAGTGTATTAAAACTCCTGACAGTCAGCACCTGATAACCAGCAAACTGAACTGAGGGAAATCCTCAAGTGTTCTGAACCATCCTCCTGACCTGCGCATGCACACACTGCCATGTGGATGCTGAAGCCAGATGATGTGCAGCATTAGTGCTCGGCTGTTTAGCAGACGAGTGTGATTTCAGAAGTGTTTTCCTTTTATTTCCATGATTTCTAACATGTGTGTGTGTGTGTGTGTGTGTGTGTGTGTGTGTGTGTGTCAGGTGGCCAAAACTCTGTTCAGCGATGAGTTCCTGAAGGCGTGCCCTCGCTGCCAGCACCCGGCCGTGTGCCACCCTGTGCGTGCGGAGGGCGTGTGCAGCTGGAGCGACTGCAGCTTCCGCTTCTGCACGGCGTGTCTGTGTGCGCTGCACGGCTCCAGAGACTGCACACCGCAGCCGCTCACACGCAGACGCAGCCGCAGGACCGACACACTGCTGCCGGGGAGTGCGCAGAGCAAACGCAACGTCAGGAGACTGTGACTGTGAGTGTGTGTATGTGTGTGTGTTTGTGTGTGTGTGTGTATGTTTGTATGTGTGTGTGTGTGTGTGTGTGTGTGTGTGTGTGAGAGAGAGTGAGAGTGTGTTTTAATTATGAACTCGGCATGACTTTTGCACTTTTGTACAGCATCACTTCAGTCTTGTTTTGCATGTGTGTATGTGCTGCTCTACATGCTTTTATACATTGTTTTAAATAAAGACCTTTTTACTCATCAACACGTTCTGCTGTATGCCTCACACTGAATCTGCTCAACTCCACTATTATTATTTATTATTATTATTATTTATTATTATTATTGTTCATTCATTTATTTTATTTTCAGCTTAGTCCCTTTACTAATCTGGGGTCGCCACAGCGGAATGAACCGCCAACTTATCCAGCACATGTTTTACACAGCGGATGCTCTTCCACCTTGGTGTCGCCTCACATCATGAAGGTGTTTTTGTGTGGAGTTTGCATGTTCTCCCCGTGTTGGCGTGGGTTTCCTCCAGGTGCTCCAGTTTCAGTCCAGACATGCGCTATAGGGGAACTGATCAATTAAACTGGCTGTAGTGTTTGGGTGTTTCCCAATACTGGGTTGCAGATGGAAGGGTTGCTGCTGTGTAGAACATGTGCTGGAATGGTTCATTCCGCTGTGGCGCCCCCTGATGAATAAGGGACTGAGCTGTAGGAAAATGATTGAAAGCAAGTGTTGCGTTATTAATGCATTAATCCAGATGCAGATGTGTAGAGGAGTCTTCATAAATCACTGTTTAAGAGCAGTAAATCACATTAAAGGCACAGTTTATCAGACTTAATACAATGTGAAGAATCTGAACAAATATTCAGATTAAACATTTTTAAATACTGAATCTCCTTTTTTAAGCCTGCCAGAACACATTTCACCTTCTCATTTAACACCTTGTCTTGTTTTTGCTTTTTTACATCATTTTCTTTTTGACTTAGCCTCTTTATTCATCTGTGCTCGTCACAGTGCAATGAACCACCAACTATTCCAGCATATGTTTTACATCCTTCATTCACACACACACACACACACACACACACTCAGTTGATCAGTTCCTCTATAGCGCATGTGTTTGGACTGTGGGGGAAACCGGAGCACCCGGAGGAAACCCACACCAACACGGGGAGAACATGCAAACTCCACACAGAAACACCAACTGACCCAGCCGAGACTCAAACCAGGCAGAGACCTTCTTATTAGGCGGTCGTGCTCCCCACAGTGCCACCGTGCAGCCCGTTTTTTAATACAATAAAAGCGAAGTGAAGTGTAGCTGTGCATCAGATTATGTTTGTTTGGTGTTTTTTGTTTTGTAAACCAGCAATGCTGTGTGTTGGCCAGCATTTCGAGCCGCTCCAGCGTGATTAATAGAGTACTCGTCATGTCTGCGTGAGCTCTGTCGGTCAGCGCTGTTGGATCCCCGGTTCCCCCGGAGTCTGCCTGTCCGTTAATCGTTCATTACTGCTGTAATATTCAGAAGTCAAACTCCAGCGACGCGTCTGATTGGTCAAGCGCAGTTCGGCCTGGTTTCCATGGTGACGCGGTCAGACGCGCGGGGAAAGTTTCTGTCAGGATCTCCCCGGTTATTAACGGAACTCCTCGGAATGTCCCGGTTGATTCCCGGTGAGTTTGTGATTCAGCGGCGCTGTACGCGGGTTATTCCGCTCTCTGAAGCTCTTTCTGCTCTTCCCTCCAGATTTAACCTTACCTGAAATCACGAGCGAGAACTTTGTGAGTATCGCCGGAAACTTACCGGACACCCTGACGAGTGCTGATCGATGAGTTTACTGCTGTATTTCATTTTTACTGTTTAAATGACTGATATACCTATCGATTAGTTCATGTATGACTGATTTATTGATGTGGTTATTGGTGTTTGATGACTGATTTATGGATGTTTATTGATGACTGGTGTATCGGTGATGTGATTGATCAGGAGCAGAGTCTCTCCCAGCCGCTGTTCTGCGAGTTCTTCAACGAGTTTCTGCAGCAGCCGGTGAGGAATAATCAATAATAAACTGATTAATCAGCTGAATAAATGATTCAGAAACATTCTAAATGCACAATCAGCGGGAGATAAAGTGAAGATTTCCACGAGAACACGGAGGTTTAGTGTCGGTACAGAATCTCCTCAGGGCTGTGTGAAGTGTGTGAAGCGGCGATGCCCAGACTAGCGCCCGCGGGGTAAAGTTAGCCATGGTGGCCTGTGAGTTGGCCCGCCGCCACCACATCTGAGAAAAGACATGATGATGGGGCAAAACCGAGATCGTCAATTCTGATTTAACACAACTATTTTGAGAAAAAAAGCAAGCTGAAATTAAATGCTCTGAATCAATCAGACAGATAGATTTAAGTGTTTTTATTGTAGGAAGTTTATTTAATTTTAAATATGAATAAATTAGGAATTTACCATGGGAACTGTAATGTGGTTTAGTATATTTACCTTTGACCCGCCAACCTCAATCAACTTTGGCTTTTGGCCCTTCATAAGGAGTTTGTGCACCCCTGCTGCTGATTCTGAGTGCAGACGCTGAGTTTAATCTTAATGCACAGCTCAATACTGTACTCGGCTATTAAAGCTGAAAACCCTGCAGAAATCAAAACTGGAGAGGATTTTTGTTTTGTTTGAACACACTGATGCAGAATAATATATCAGACAGATGCATCATCAGTGTTTAAACAGTTAATAATGCTCCTCATTTACTCACTCGGTGGAGGAGCATGATGTACAAGTGCACATTTAACTTTAAATAAAGCTGTAAGGGTTCAGAAATGTCTCCTTAAAAGTATTAATTCAGTGCAAATGGCCAAAACAACACTCAAATAGCAAAATCTTTCACACACGGATTGTTTCTGACTGTCATGAACTCTGCAAAAAGCTTTTCTTATGTCGAGTTTAGTCTCGGTTCTAAATATGTAAAAACTGTTGAATCAGTCTGCATTTTCTAGACGAGCAGAACATTTAGTGTAGTGTTCAGAACTAATGAGTCCAAATGAAGAGAGCTTCTCAGTCAAACAGCAGAATACTCTGACACTGGGGGAGAGAAATACATTAATCTCACCATGAAAACAAGAGTGTTCTGCTGTTCGACTGAGAAGCTCTCTTCATTTGGACTCATTAGTTCTGAACACTACACTAAATGTTCTGCTCGTCTAGAAAATGCAGACTGATTCAACAGTTTTTAGATATTTGGTCTAGAAAGTGTGTGTGTGTGTGCGTGCGTGCGTGCGTGCGTGCGTGAGTGCGCGTGTGTGTGTGTGCGTGTGTGCGCATGTGTGTGTGTGTGTAGGTGTTTGTGCTGCCGCTCAGGTATGATGACCAGTCCTCCGGCTTTGAGCTGCTCAGTGATGCTGCGGTGCGTCTGTCCTGTCGGATCAGAGCTGCGGTGCAGCAGATGCGGAGCCGGAGCTGTGCGGAGCCCCTGCGGGACAACAGATACTCCATCACCGTATGTCTGATCATCATGCTTATGTTCAGTTTAACAGTTTAAAACACGTCTCTACTCCCAGCATGCACAATAACCCCCCCCCCCCCCCTATTAATCTGGGGTCGCCACAGCGGAAGGAACCGCCAACTATTCTAGCATATGTTTTATGCACCGGATGCCCTTCCAACTGCAACCCAGTACTGGGGAAACACCCACCCACAAACACACACTCATACACTACGGCCAGTGTAGTTGATCAGTTCCCCTATAGCGCATGTGTTTGGACTGTGGGGGAAACCGGAGCACCCGGAGGAAACCCACGCCAACACGGGGAGAACATGCAAACTCCACACAGAAACACACACTGACCCAGCCGAGGCTCAAACCAGAGACCTTCTTACTGTGAGGCCAGTGTTAACCACTGCGCCCCCGTGCCGCCCTCACCTAACTATTAGTTCTGGCAGCTGTTCAGCTCAGCATCAGGACACTGCTGCATGTACATTACTGAAGCTCCAGCTGTCCTGCATTGCGAGTGTGAGCGTGACGTGAGATATGCCGTGTGTGTGTGTGTGTGTGTGTGTGTGTGTGTGTTTCTG